ACGTAAAGTCTACTACTCTTAAACAAGTGTGTGCGGCGTGCCTGTTGATTTGTTTCCGGTCTAGCTAGATCCGGTGTGGTGTTGTAGTTTTTCTAACGTTACTAGTTGTTGCAACAGCTTGTGAAAAAACTACAAAGTGTGCTAGGCGTTAATCTTACGATAGAAAAATTGACGCCGTTAAAATGGGTTTGCATTAACGCCGTTAATAACGCGTTAAACTGACAGCACTATAAAACATATACCTGAAATGTCCTGAACACTGTGCGTCTGTAACTGGGTCACCTACAGTAAAATGTTCCATGTTTATAACGTTACGTCTGCAACGTCTTTGAATCCCACTCAGAGGGTTTCAGAGCGTCGTCTTGTTGAGCTCCACATCGACATCGACAGCATAGATATGTTTTCACCTGAATCAGTTCAGTATATTTGATGAAGTTGGTGTACTTGTATACACATGGTTAAATCCACTCGCTGTGGTTCGGCTGTGAAAGCTACACGCTAAAGCTACATGCTAAAGCTACATGCATGAACATACAATGTCCCCTTAATAATAGTGAATATTAAGGACTTTGAGGGCGTGATATTAACACTGAACCAGACAGGAAATGTGCTGCAAAACCAAAACTAGGAGCTAAAAGAGGGTAAAGGGTTGTGTGGGTCCATCCACTGTTGGTATGAAGATGATGGATCCATATGAAGACAGAGATGACGAAGGTGAATAATGAGAAGCAGCATAGAGGCAAACATCCACAGTGAGTTACATAAAGCAGCACAGTGAGTCCTCTGAGCGCTGATTGAACGTTGCTCCTGTAATCAGGCCTGAAGCAGCGGCTGCTGGAGGAGAAGTCGTCCCTCAGGTCCTCTCGATATGTTTCTGTAGTTACATAACGGCCAACATCACAGAGGCTAATCATAGACTGAGGCTGTCTTTAACATGGAGTTCATGTTCCTGATGTTCACTGTGAAGCTGCACAGAAACAACCACTATTTATTTATGCGTCTGTGCACGATGCAGAAAGCAGCTAATGCAGTTATCATTATTAACTATCTGATTATATCAGTGTATATAATATAACCCAAAAATATAGAATTACTTTTTACTCATAAACATTGTCACTGTTTTCTTTAGCTTTATGTCATAATGATTTTCACTCCAGTGTAGATTTGAAGATCAATGAGTTCTGATTTGAACATAGCTGATAACTCCACTGAAACTGTTATTTATTTAAATCAATTCCTGAATCATCTGACGTTAACTCTGTTCATTCCCAGCAAGTCGACACTCCCCAGATCCACGTTATTTAAACTGATTGAGCATCCAATCAGGTTGCAGGAGAGAACCATGAACGTTACGTCACTGAGCGCCAGCTGGAAGAAATCGTACCAAAATAAAACTCATCGATCCTTTTGCTGTTAAAATGGCTTGGGACTGGAGAGCAAAGACAAAACAATCCCAAGTCCTGAATAAAGTCAGTTCTCTCTTCTCCAAATGTATCGGCATTTTACCAACAGAACAAACTAAATCAAATGATCTGTTAGTTATTGTAACTCAGCCTCTTCCTATGACCAATGTTCATCTGAGGAGAAAGATGACGTTCTAAATCATCTAAACTAAAGCTGTCACACTCTGATCATTAAAACATGAGTTAGTTGCAAATTATAAAAAATCTTAATATTATTTCTGACACTATTGAAATAAATAAAAAACTCATAGACAGAGAGACAAATGAGTCTGTGGTGGGTGGCGTTAACAGGCTAGCTGAGACTCAATTAAAAATACAAAGATGTGGAAACAAAACTCTGGATACGTTTTTAAGAGGCCATGCATCGAGGAAGAGGACTCTCCAGCAGCTCTTCTAGCTCCGGCAGCGGCCCCGGGGCCCTCAGGTGCTGCTGTAACTGTACCAGATCACATTTCATTGTTGAAGACCCATAATGCACAGCAACCTGCTGTCAGTGCAATGTATAAAACTATGGTCTGAGTAATGTTGATCACATTATTACCCTCAGGTCCACCTGCTGCTGCTGGCCAGCTCAGATGGAGCTTCCTGTATGTGGGCTGAAGGTCGGCGGTCTGATGGCGGTCTGACGGCGGTCTGATGGCGGTCTGACGGCGGTGACACGTTGGGACAGATGCAGATAATCTCCACCTCTCCGTCACATTCAGATCTTTGATTAAAAGTTAATGAGCTGAGCTGTGGAGGAATGACGAGCAGCTGAAGCATTTCCAGCCTCACAAACACAAAGACTGCAGACCGTCAGCGCAGTAATGAGCGCTCAGGAGGTCAGCCACATAATTCTCCATTACTGCACGTAGAGACTCACATTCCCATCAGGCTGTGGGCCTCAGTGACTTCCTGCTTCTACCTGAGGCCGGAGCTTCAGGCTCTATAATGACCATCATTGGTTATCAGCAGCAACCTGAGGAGACGAGTTACAGTGATAATCTCCATCAGTGCGTCCACAGGGTGCGAACTACAGGGGGAGTTCAACTCCTGTTGATACGACAGGAGACAACAACTGTTATTTATATTGTTCTATAGCTCCTGTTGATACGACAGGAGACAACAACTGTTATTTATATTGTTCTATAGCTCCTGTTGATACGACAGGAGACAACAACAACTGTTATTTATATTGTTCTATAGCTCCTGTTGATACGACAGGAGACAACAACAACTGTTATTTATATTGTTCTATAGCTCCTGTTGATACGACAGGAGACAACAACAACTGTTATTTATATTGTTCTATAGCTCCTGTTGATACGACAGGAGACAACAACTGTTATTTATATTGTTCTATAGCTCCTGTTGATACGACAGGAGACAACAACTGTTATTTATATTGTTCTATAGCTCCTGTTGATACGACAGGAGACAACAACTGTTATTTATATTGTTCTATAGCTCCTGTTGATACGACAGGAGACAACAACTGTTATTTATATTGTTCTATAGCTCCTGTTGATACGACAGGAGACAACAACTGTTATTTATATTGTTCTATAGCTCCTGTTGATACGACAGGAGACAACAACAACTGTTATTTATATTGTTCTATAGCTCCTGTTGATACGACAGGAGACAACAACTGTTATTTATATTGTTCTATAGCTCCTGTTGATACGACAGGAGACAACAACTGTTATTTATATTGTTCTATAGCTCCTGTTGATACGACAGGAGACAACAACTGTTATTTGAAGCTAACAGAAGCTAACAGACACTAACAGTGAAGCTAACTGAAGCTAACTGAAGCTAACAGACACTAACAGTGAAGCTAACAGAAGCTAACTGAAGCTAACTGAAGCTAACAGACACTAACAGTGAAGCTAACAGAAGCTAACTGAAGCTAACAGACACTAACAGTGAAGCTAACAGAAGCTAACTGAAGCTAACAGACACTAACAGTGAAGCTAACAGAAGCTAACTGAAGCTAACAGACACTAACAGTGAAGCTAACAGAAGCTAACTGAAGCTAACTGAAGCTAACAGACACTAACAGTGAAGCTAACAGAAGCTAACTGAAGCTAACTGAAGCTAACAGACACTAACAGTGAAGCTAACTGAAGCTAACAGACACTAACAGTGAAGCTAACAGAAGCTAACTGAAGCTAACAGACACTAACAGTGAAGCTAACAGAAGCTAACTGAAGCTAACAGACACTAACAGTGAAGCTAACAGAAGCTAACTGAAGCTAACAGACACTAACAATGAAGCTAACAGAAGCTAACTGAAGCTAACAGACACTAACAGTGAAGCTAACAGAAGCTAACTGAAGCTAACTGAAGCTAACAGACACTAACAGTGAAGCTAACAGAAGCTAACTGAAGCTAACTGAAGCTAACAGACACTAACAGTGAAGCTAACGGAAGCTAACTGATGCTAACAGACACTAACAGTGAAGCTAACAGAAGCTAACAGACACTAACAGTGAAGCTAACAGAAGCTAACAGAAGCTAACAGACACTAACAGTGAAGCTAACAGAAGCTAACAGAAGCTAACAGACACTAACAGTGAAGCTAACTGAAGCTAACAGACACTAACAGTGAAGACACAGAAGCTAACTGAAGCTAACAGACACTAACAGTGAAGCTAACAGAAGCTAACTGAAGCTAACAGACACTAACAGTGAAGCTAACTGAAGCTAACAGAAGCTAACAGAGGCTAACAGAAGCTAACTGAAGCTAACAGAAGCTAACAGACACTAACAGTGAAGCTAACAGAAGCTAACAGACACTAACAGTGAAGCTAACAGAAGCTAACTGAAGCTAACTGAAGCTAACAGACACTAACAGTGAAGACACAGAAGCTAACTGAAGCTAACAGAGGCTAACTGAAGCTAACAGAAGCTAACAGACACTAACAGTGAAGCTAACAGAAGCTAACAGAAGCTAACAGACACTAACAGTGAAGCTAACAGAAGCTAACAGAAGCTAACAGACACTAACAGTGAAGCTAACAGAAGCTAACAGACACTAACAGTGAAGCTAACAGAAGCTAACAGACACTAACAGTGAAGCTAACAGAAGCTAACAGACACTAACAGTGAAGCTAACAGAAGCTAACTGAAGCTAACTGATGTTATTGATTGATCAGTTTGTCAGAAACACTGATTGGATTTTATATAAAAACAGAAAGAAATAGATTGTTGGTTCATTGTTTGTTAAACAGGGTAACAGAATAAAGTAGTGAATTATGGGATGGATTATAATGAATGAATGAGTAATACACATGAAGCTGGTACATTATAAATAAACTTTATTATTATTATTATTATTATTATTATTATATGTAGACTATTAGACATTGAGAGAGCTACAATAACATTAATGGAGTGAGGAGTATCGATCCGAGTGTTTATGGGTTAATCCATGGGGGGGGGGTCATTCCTGACGTCCGACGTCGGAACTCGGGATTGGTGGAGGAACACGGGTCGAGCTCCTCCGACGCTCCTATTGGCTGCGGTGGTGTCACTCCCAGAATCCTCCGCGCT